CCACGAAGCACTATTAAAGACACATGGTACGCTCAAACACATTGAGGGTGTATGAGACTAACAGCCCCCAGCTGTCGATGTGTCGTGGTTTCCCCGCCTGAAACTGCACGGGGTCCGAGTACGGGACCGTGGGAAAGGCTTATTCCTTGCTACACCGCCCAAAATTCACCGCGCGCGCGGCGAAATGCAACTCGCGCGCGGTGAATTTTGGGCGGTGTAGCAAGGAATAAGCCTTTCCCACGGTCCCGTACTCGGACCCCCGTGCAGTTTCAGGCGGGGAAACCACGACACATCGACAGCTGGGGGGCTGTTAGTCTCATACACCCTCAATGTGTTGAGCGTACCATGTGTCTTTAAGTTGTCTGATTGGTTTTCAGGGCTCCCATCAGCCCTCATGATCGGCTCCACTTCTTGCGAAGGAACCCTCCACGCTCGTCTCTGCTCGCTATGGCCGAGTACAGTGTTCGCTGCGGATGCTGGGGCATTCCGAAGGAGGCTGGGCTTGCGCGGCGCCAGCTCGTCTTCCAGAACCGCGGAAGCTGGCAGGCGACCGCAGTTGTTGCAGAACTGATAGGCGCCGCGTCAAAACCAACCTCCTGAAGCGCTCCAGCGTCCACATTGAACAAGATTGTATCTAAGATGGCAAGAGCGCTCATGGCTGAAAAGTTCTGCACAGAGTTCGTCGACCCCTCAGGAATCAAATCATAAACCCTGCTCGCAGTTCAGGAGGAAGGGAAAAAGAAGGAACTAACCGAAGAAGGAACTAGGTAACTACCGTATACCGACTTCCCCTAAATCTCTGGTATGAAGCCTTTCACAACTCACCAATCATCTTAATTAATTCTCCCAAAATTCTACTATGGGGCGGAGGGGGAGGGTGTACATACTGCGTGCAGTATGTACACCCTCCCCCTCCGCCCCATAGTAGAAGCGAGCAGTGTAAAGTGTAGAGAGCAGAGCCACTTAAGTTTTCTCCACGTTCGACGGATAACGTTTGGGTAAAATGGTAGCTTAAAGGGTTAACACGATCATAGACCCTCGTCCTCGGGACACTCGTGCTGACCGCTTAACTCATACTCGTGCTGTATCGTGTCTGGTGCGTCTACAACCCTCTCTACCCCACCAATTGTGGTCACTTGCCCACTTCAAGAACTGGAAGAATAGGCTGGCACCGGGCCAAGCGCCCCTCCTACGCCTTCTACGGCAGGTGCACCTCCCACTTCCCCGGCTCGACAGTTAGTACTGAAGGCAAGCATTCCTTATGATCAAGTCGTGCTGTGTTCCCAGGAAAGATCACCCGAAAGCGTCCAATAATCTCACCTTGAACCGCACTCCAGTGTCCTGACCAGCAACTTGGAACGACAGCTCGCCAACAGATGTGTCGACGATACATCCAATGAGCGTACCAGATACCTGCATTAAATTCCCATCCTAGAAAATGACCAAAAAACAGTTAAACGTTTGTAACAGTTGACCGTCGTCACTGGTGGGCCAGCGTGTCAGTTGTCTCAAACGAGGGGAAACTGCGCATACCTTGGTGTTGGTGACATCGGGTACATGTGACAGTAGGTCCGCAGCGTTCATCATATAGCAGTTGCGGTATTCAAGGCTAAATTAATTGTTATAAACGCTGTAAAACACCCGATCTCATAAGTATCGATTGATATTGGTAGCTTGCTTGTACGGTTACTTACTTCTCTTGGTTTGCGCCCGTGGTCTCGGTATAGACACATCGTCGCTCGACACGATTTCGTTGGTAGGAGGTCGAGTAGAAATGGTACTGTGTTGTTACCCATCCAACCCATACCTGACTTGGATCTTGACCAGGGAAGATACGAACACCGTAGTAATACTCATCTATCTGGAAAAAGTACAACAACTCAGTGATGAATTTCCTTTTCTAATGTGCAATGTTTCCACCGTACCTTATCTGCGTGCTCTGCCATAGCGAGAGCGTCACCCTCTTGCTGTGGGTCGGCTACGTCAAGAACTGGAGCTGAACCACGCTTCTCCATGGTCACAACTGATCCTGCAGCGGA